CTTGGAAGAAATGCTGTGTTTTGAGCTCTCCGAGAGCCTGCTGTTTGCCCAGAACCTTGTGTGGGGTCCTAACTGCCGTGGATGCCTGGTCCGTGACGAAAAACACCCAACCTCTCCCACAAATGTGTTTTCTGGTTACTCAGGCTGTCATTCCTTAAGAAACCATCTCCCTGTCTTTGTAAAATGAGTAAGCTTACTTTCAGGTGTGGAAATAAAACCCTAAACTTTGTTTTTTTTCTTCTTAGTTTGTATACAGTTTAAACAGTTTTTGAAGAGAATGTGGTGGGTTTTTTTGGTAATTCTTTTGACTTATTTTTTTGAAAAATACTCAGTTCAAACATCAAATTATATTAAAAGATGCATTTGGAAAAATCCATTCTCATTCTTGTCTCTTCCACCCTCCCCCTCTTCCCACAGAGTGAAAACATCCGTCATTACTGTACATTCCTGCAATTCTTTTTGTAGACAGCAGCAGCCACGTGTACTAAAGGTTGCATACTAAATGTACCTTTCTTGTGTCTGCTTTTTCAGTGTAGTACCTGCTGTGGGAGCACTGCCGTGCATTAACCAGTTCTTGCTGCTGTGTGAAAACAGTGCCATGCAGTAGCCATTTCTTGCTGCTGTGTGGCATCTGTGTATGGGAGCAGTGCCATGCGTTAATCAGTTTTTATTTTAAAAATTTATTTATTTGAAAGGCAGCCTTAGAGAGATTGATCTTCTATCCTCTGGTTCACCCCTGAGAAGGCTGCCGTGTCCAGGGCTGGGCCAGACTAAAGCCAGGAGCTTTGTTCCAGGTCTCCCATGTGGGTGCAGGGGCTCAAGACCTTGGGCCATCCTGCGTTGCTTTCCCAGGTGCATTAGCAGGGAGCAGCTGGGACTGCTCCACCACAGTGCTGGCCCCAGTTAACCAGTTGCCATGCAACAACCAGTTCTTGCTGCTGCATGGTGTTTGCTGTGTGGGAGCACTGCTGTACTTCAGCTAGATCTTGTTGCCCTGTGGTATCCTCTCTGTGGTAGCATTGCCATGCTTTAACCAGTTCTTTTTTTTTTTTTTTTTATTTGTTTTGTAAGATTTATTTATTTACTTGAATTACACAGAAAGAGGAGCGGGGGGGGGAGGGAGGGAGAGGTCTTCCATCTGCTGGTTCACTCCCCAATTGGCTGCAATGGCCAGAGTTGGGCTAATCCAAACCCAGGAGCCACGAGCTTCTTCCGGGTCTCCCACGCAGCTGCAGGGGCCCAAGGACTTGCACCATCTTCTACTGCTTTCCCAAGCTGTAGCAGAGAGCTGGATCCAAAGTGGAGCAGCTGGATTTGAACGGGCACCCATATGGGATGCCGGCATTGCAGGCTGCGGCTTTACCTGATACGCCACAGCGCTGGCCCCTTAAATAGTTCTTGTTGTGTGGTATCTGCTGTGTGGAGCACTGCCATGCATTAACCAGTTCTTGTTGCTGGGTGGTGTCCTGTGTGGGAGCACTGCTGTGCTTTAATTAGTTCTTGTTGCTATGTGGTATCCTCTGTGGGAGCACCTCCAGGTATTAACAAGCCTTCTCTGCTGGTCATTTGCATTGTCAGGCTTTTCCTGTAAGAAATAATGCCATAGTAAGTAGCTCTGTGGAAATGGAATTGCTTGTATATAAAGAGACCCTCAGGGCTTAGAGGTAAATACAAGAGTAGTTTTCCAAATATTCCTAAATTTCTTTCCCAACAGACATTTCTGAGTGTTTCGGGGAATTGTGCTATATGTAACAATTCAGTGCTTATGTATCACTTTTTTTTTTAAGTTTGTATTACTTGAAAGGAGAGTGACAGGGAAGGAGAGACAGATTTTCCTTCTACCAGTTCAATCCCCAAATGGCTGCAATGGCCAGGACTGGGCCAGGATGAAGCCAGGAGCCTGGAACCCCATCCAAGTCTCTTACATGGGTGACAGGGTTCCAAGCACTTGGACCATCTTCGGCTGCTTTCCCAGGAGCATTAACAGGGAGCTGGATCAGAATCAGAGCAGATGGGACTTTAACTGGTACTCCTGTATGAGATGCCTGCACTGCAGGTGATGGCTTAACTCACTGTGCCACACTGCTGACCGCTCATGTCACCTTTTACAGCCTTAAAGCATGCCCACACACACACCCAACATGAGCAGCTGAGCATTTTGTGTTGAGGCAGCCGGGATACCTTTCCAAGGCTGTCATCCTGTGACTGGCAGGCTCTCCATGTCTACCTGCTATGCTATAGTCTCACCCCAGCACTGGGGGTTGGGGTGGGCACAGGAAATACAGCAGTGTTTGTCAGTCTAAGAGACCCAGTGTTGAGGGTTGATTTTGCCACTTTCAAAACAGGTAACTCTGAGGAGGACACTGCCTAAGTGCTCCAGTGTTTTCACCTGTAAAATGGCATGCCTTATACTCAGTGTTCCAGAGATCATGTGAGCTGAAAACCGTGAAATGACTTTGGAAGGATGGAAGGAAGAGTGCTTTCTAAACTGCTGCAGCTTGGTTGCTGCCCTGAGAGTTAGGGGTATGGTGCTGGAGGACCGGGGCTCCTTGAGTTGGGGAATTCCAGGGAGGAAGCTGTGGAAGAGGGAGCTGCATTCATTTCCAGGCCACCTCTGTGTGCTGGCCCTGTGCGTGAGTCTGTGGTGCCACCTGCAAGAGCAGCCAGGGCTGCAGGAGGCTGCAGGCTGCAGGTCTGGGGCTCCTGGTATCTGGAGAGATTCTAGATTGTGTGGAGCTTGCAATGGTGCCAGGAGGGTTTGCAGCTGTCTGGTAGAGGTGGAGAGTAAAGAAGCATTTAAATGCTACAGGGAAGAAAGACCTGTTTTCTCCTCTGTTCATCGCAGAAAACTACAGAGGCCAACTGTAATTGGGGCAAAGGAGACTTTAGTGAAATGAGTTGAATCATGGGGCAGAGAGGCCTGAAATTGCCCTTTCTTGCCAAAATACATTGATTTCTTCAACAATCTGAGTGTCATTTATTTTTATTTTATTTATTTGAGAGGTAGAATTATAGACAGAGGGAAAGACAGAGATAGAGTTCTTCTGTCCAGTAGTTCACTCCCCAGATAGCCGCAGTGGCAGGAGCTGAACTGGCCTGAAGCCAGGAGCTTTTTCTAGGTCTCCCACCTGGGTGCAGGGGCCCAAGCACTTGGGCCATCTTACGCTTTCCCAGGCCATAAGCAGAGAGCTGGATCGGAAGAGGAGCAGCTGGGACACAAAGCGGCGCCCATATGGGATGCTGGAACCACAGGCGGAGGCTTAGCCTATTACACCACTGAGCTTCATTTCTTGAACTGAGCATGAGCTTACCTGGTCTAAATTAAATCTTTTTCCATTAATAAAAACTGGTCACTTTGCTTCTTGACATTTAGTATGCTTCTGAATGTCTTGAAATGCATTCCAGAAATCCTGTTGTCATGGGCTGTTTTCATAGCCCAGCGTAATAGGTACCACGTGCAGTTGGCTGCTGCTGGAAATTTGTCCATTTCTAAGATGTTGTGGCTGTGGAGCAGACTGTGGTCATCTCCTCTCCTGCCTTGAGGGTGGGGCCTGGGCAGGACAGTGAGCCCTTCCTTTTCCAAAGAAAGCTTTGTATTACTTTTTTTCCCCCATGTGTTCTTTAGTAATCTGAAGTATGGGAGGTCTTCAAAAAGTTCATGGAAATGCATATTTTGAGAATCAGCATAGATTTCAAAATTTTTTGTACCAAAACAAATGCATTTTCATGATATTTTCCCACAGACTTTTTTTTTTTAAGACTTATTTATTTATTTGAAAGTCAGAGTTACAGAGACATACAGAGAGAGACAGAGAGAGACAAGAGAGGTCTTCCATCCGCTGGCACACTCCCTAGATGGCCACAACAGCCGAGGCTGGGCCAGGTTGATGCCAGGAGCCAGGAGCTTCATCCAGATCCACCACATGGGTGCAGGGGCCCAAGCACTTGGGCCGTCTTCCGCTACTTTCTCAGTCCATTATCAGGGAGCTGGATTGGAAGTGGAACAGCCAGGACGTGAACTGACACCCATATATGATGCTGGTGTCACAGGTGGTGGCTTTACCTGATGCGCCACAACACTGGCCCCTCTCACAAACTTTCTAAAGTACTCTCATATCCTACCATGTAAACTTTAATAAGTGAATTATCTTTTTTACCTTTTTAATGAAATGGTTATCGTCTATTTTAAATTTTATATATTTTTCTTTTTAACATTTATACAATTTTGGGAGGCAGAGAGACAGGAAAGAATCAGAACTCCCACCTGCTGGTTCACTCCTCAGATGCCTGTCGCTGGGGTGGCAGGGACTCGACTACTTGAAGCATCTTTGTTGCCTCCCAGGGTCTGCATTAACAGGAAGCTAGAGTCAATTGCTGGGTCTAGGAATGGAACCCAGGTATGTGGATATAGGATTCAGGCATCCTAACTGCTCTGCTAAATGCCCTGCCTCTCAATGTATTTAAAGATGTGAAACTCTAGTAAAGTAATAGGAAAATAGGTACTTTGCTTCCTTTATAAAACTTTAAAAAAATAAGAAGTCGTAGCAGGGTTAAGCTGCCACTAGCTGTGCCAACATTGCATACAGTTGCTGATTTGAGCATCCCATATGGGTGCCCCACTTCTGATCCAGCTCCTTGCTAATGGCCTAGGAAAGCAGCCGGAAAATGGCCCAAGTGCTTGAGCTCCTGCACCCACATGGGAGATTCCCATGAAGCTCCTGGCTCCCAGATTTAATCTGGTCCAGCCCTGGCTGTTGTGTCCATTTGGGAGAGTGAACCAGTGGATGGAAGACTTCTCTCTCTGCCTTTGCCTCTCTGTAACTCTGCCTTTCAAATCAATAAATAAATCTTAAAAAAAAAAAAAAAAAGCCATGAGAGAGGGAGGTGGATGACAGCTTCCTGGTTCTAAAGTATCCTTGGTCCTCCTGCTGTATGTGAGATCTTATCAACAGAGTACATGTTCTTTGCCCTGACAGTGTTTCTCTTGCTTCTGTTTGCAGTGCTCAGAGGCCAAAAAACATTGCTGGTACTTTGAAGGACTCTATCCAACGTATTATATGTAAGTATTTGCACTGTTGGTTTCATCCTGTGTTTCATCACATCTTTCTCTGGGGATTATTTCTTTATAGGTAGAAGATTGCATTATGGGAAAGAAAGCCCCCGTGTGATACAGCCTCCAACCCAGGTTTCAGGCCTGCTGGTACTCAGGGACAAGCAGGTGGCCTTGCTGGCAGCAAGTAGCTGCTCAGACCAGGCACTTTGCTGGCAGCATGAAATACCTGCTCTGTTCTGTGACGCAGGTCAGCTTTTGTGTGGTTCATATCAAGGGGCAAGGTATCTAGGGAAGGCACAAGTTATTTTGGTTTGTACAGATTTTCTTGTGAAAGAGAGCAGGGGTAATAGGAATAGATTTTACAGTCTTGGGCAGGACGAGAAACATTCCTTGGCTGGTCTGCTGTGACTGCATGCGTGTGTGCATGTGTGTACTCTGTATGTGAAATCCCAGTGATTGCCCATCCTGAGCTCCTCTCAAAACAGGCACTGTCACAGCCTTGCTGGCTCTGGCCGCAGGATTTTTTCTCTTCCTGTGCCCACGTCAGTGTCTGCCAGTTTGGCTCTAATTAAGGCACAGTTTTCTGTCTGTTGTTTTCATGTGCTTTAATATCTGGCTAGCCACCAGCTGTGGGGAGCAGCCTGCCTAGGTGGCCAGATTGTCGGTTACTGGTTTTCATTGTGTTTGAAATTCCACAGATTTTGAGTGGAATATCCTAAACCAGTTTTCCCCAGAAGCTGTTATTTTTAATATTGTAAAATATGAGCCTATTTTTTTAAAGATTTATTTATTTGAAAGGCAGAGTTAGAGAGAGGGAGGGAGAGAGGGATAAATCTTCCACCTGCTGGTTTACTCCCCAAATGGCTACAATGGCCAGGGTTGGGCCAGACTGAAGTGAAGAGCCTGGAAGTCCATCTGGGTCTCTCATGGAAGTGCAGGGGCCCAAGCACCTGGGTCATCCTCTGCTGCTTTCTCAGGTGTGTTAACAAGGAGTTGGATCAGAGCTGGAGTGCTGGAACTCAAACTGAGGCCCATGTAGAATTGCTGGTATGGCAGGCAGCAACTTAACCTGCTGCCTCACAACACCAGCTCCAAATAAGAGATTTTTTTTTAGGAATGAACATGAATGCTATGAACTCTCACACCAAGAGTAACTGGACAGGAGATATATAACACAGCTGGCTCTTCCTAGTTGCAGTTTTCACATTCCATGAAGGATATCAAGGAAAAAATTATGTCTGTATTTAGCAAGTACAAACTTCTTGCTGTTATTCACCAAACAATGTAGTAATACAATATGCCAATTATTTACCTAGAGTGTACACTGTGTTAGGGTCAGGGATAATCTGGAGAAGAATTGATATATATGGGAGCATGTGTGTAGTTCTGTGGGAACGCTATCCCATTTCGCATAAGGGACTTGGGCACCCGTGAGGGCCTGGAACTGGTCTCTGCCAATTTTCAGTGGCCACTGTGATAGCAGAAGGTCCCAGTGTTTGTTCCCTGGCGCTTTTCTTTTTTCTTTTCTTTTCTTTTCTTTTTAAATATTTATTTACTTATTTGAAAGGCAGAGTTACAGAGAGGCAGAGGCAGAGAGAGACAGAGAGATCTTCCATCTGCTGGGTTGATCCCCAGATGGCTGCAGTGGTCAGAGCTGTGCTGATCTGAAGCCAGGAGCTTCTTCCGGGTTTCCCACACGGGTGCAGGAGGCCAAGGACTTGGGCCATCTTCCACTGCTTTCCCAAGCCATAGCAGAGAGCTGGGTAGGAAGTGGAGCAGCTGGGACTTGAACCAGCACCCATATGGGATGCCAGCACTGCAGGCGGTGGCTTTACCCGCTGTGCCACAGCACTGGCCCCCCTTGGCGTTCTTGAGAAGACCCACACAGGAGGGAGAAGGCTGCCTGCCTCAGCATGGGAGATTGCTGGTATCTCTTGTCTTGTTTCATGTTGACGAGCAGGAGACCTTAATGCCCCTGTTTTGTGGGAGCCTCAGCAGAAAGCCTTTACAGCTGTGAGAAGAAAAAGCTCTCTTGGAAAATGCAGCAGTGGCCTGAGGACCATGACTCTCATTACAGTTATCAGGTTGAAGAAAAATGGCTGTGGGACAACAGGGAGATAAAACACTTTGGTTCTTCTCAGTAGAGTGAATCCCGTTGGTAAGGCTCATGTCCTTGATTCAGCTTCTGACACAAATGTGGATCAAGCTCCCTCTGATGTGTTCATCCTGGAGCACAGGCGCTTTTCCAGCTGTGCCTCAGGTTGGGAGTCAGAGATCACTTTGTGTTCTTGTTCACTCACTTTTTAACGTATCATGAAAGTGTTCTCACACTGGGCTGGAGCTGGGGAACACCTGCCAACATGCTGCTTTGGTTTCCTTCTGCCTCTTCTCTTCCATTGTGAGGAGGAGGAACCGGCGTCCCAGAAGCGCTGTCCTGGAGAACGAAAAAGTCGCTGTGGAGAGTGAGCCGTGCACTTGGTGATGCTTCGTGCCGCCTGCATGAATGGCGTCTTCAATCTCATAGCTGCTGGAAGCCCCAGCCACACCGCTGCTCTCCTGGATTCTGACCTTTCTGAGTCTCTCCTCCCTGTTCCCCAGGCCCCAGTTCACACTCACCTGAACCATTGTAGAAACTTTCTGTGGGTCTTCTCTCAGTCTCTTTTTACATCCAGTTCTCTTTCCTTCTAAATTTTCATGTTACTTCTCTGCTTAAAAGCATTAGGTTCAGGGCTGGTGTTGTGGTACAGGGGGCTGAGCTGCCACCTACAATGCTGGCATCAGTAGGTTTTCAACAGTAGGTTTTCAAGATCCTTGGCAGCTGTGTCTTCACTATTGTGAGTCCCTGAGTACAGTGACTCATAAATATTTGAGGTCCCTGTGCCTAGGACAGTGCCTGACATATGGCAGACGTGCTGAATGTTGAGTTCTCCGCTGGGCACACTGCCCCTGTCCTGGCAAGCCTTCCATGATTCAGCCGCTTCTCTTGCCTCCAGCATGTGGGTACATGACACAAGGAGGCCTGCAAAGCAGGGAGCTGCTGCCTTCCCCCAGTGCCCGGACCCTGGACCTCCCACTCCAGAACTATGACAAATGAATGTCTTTGGTTTTGTCACAGTAGCCCAAGCAAAGACAGTGTTCAGTGGGGCCTGGACATGTCTTATCTGATTTGTAGAGCCACTGAAAAGGAATCGGAGTGGAGGTGTAGTGACAGCCCATGGAGTCTGTAATGTTGTAAGTGAATTCCTGTCCACTCTGTTCCATGTACTAGCCATTTCTGCCTGCATAGCTCCCTCTGTTCCCTTTGTATCTGTGGGGAGTGGAGTGGAAGTGGGACAAATTTTTGTCTTCTTCCTCAGATGTGAGGACAAGTAAGCTGCGGGCTCGGGTTTCAGAGCAGCAAATGCTTCCTCCTGACCCTGGCTGTCAAAGGGAGGCACTTCAGGAAATCCACATCCCTGCTTCCCTCTTCTGTCCACATTTGTGGTTACCAGCATTGGATGGTGTCCGAAGGCCCCTTCCCGCCTGTGCAGAGCTGACACAGCTCTCGTTATCCTTGGGGGAAAATAACACAGGGGGCATTATGGTGGCACTGAGCTCAGGTCACTGCTGAACTCCTCGTAGCTACGGGTGTCTGCCCATATTTCCTGCCCCTCGGGGAGCAGGGTGCTCCCATTTGAGAGGATCTGCGAGAGTGTTGCACCCTCCAGGGTTTGCTCACCCCAGGACATTAAAGAGTAGAATTGGGGGTGGTGATGTTTGGCTTAGTGGTTAAGACACTGATTGGGATGCCTGCATCCACGTCAGAGAACCGTGGTTTGGTAGCCAGCTCCTGCTCCTGCCTCCAGCTTCCTGCCAGTGCACACCCTGGGAGGCGGCAGTGATGGCTCAGGTAGTTGAGTCCCTTCCATCCACATGGGAGACCTGGATTGTGTTCCTGGCTCCCAGCTTTGGCATCTGGGGAGTGAAACAATGTATGGGAACTCTTTCTTTGTCTCTCTATCCCTCCTTCTCACTCTCAAATAAGTAAGTAAATAGATAAAGATTTTAAATAAATAAATATATCTTGATTCCATTAAAATTACTTTTATAAAAGTAGTAGAATTGGAGCAAGAATAGCCATGGTCATTTTTGTTTTACAAAAAGATTTATTGGAAGGCAGAATTAGAGAGATTGTTTTTCCATGTGTTGGCTCACTCTCCAAATGGCCTAAAGGGCTGGGCCTGGGTCATGCTGAAGCCAGGAGGCTGGAACTCCATCTGGGTCTCCCATGTGAGTGCAGGGACCCAAGGACTTCAGTCATCTTTGCTGTTTTCCCAGGCACATTAGCAGGAAGCTGGATTGAAAGTGGGGCAGCCAGGGTTTGAACTGGAGCCCATGTGGCTGCTGTACCATAACTGTTGGCCACAGTAGCCGTTTGACCTTTGTTACACACAGAATACTAGCACTGTGAACAGTGGGAGGTGACCTCCTGGTCAGGGGACTTGGGCCATTGGGACTTTCCCGGAGGATGATAGGAGCCAACTGTAGACATGACAGAATTTGAACCTATCTACTTTGACCCAGGGCTTCCCCAGCATTAGCTCTGAAGAAATGAGGCTTACATTGTTTGTGATACACACCCACCCTTGTGCATGTGTGAGCATATGTGACAGTTCTTACTTTGCTGCTCTCTCATTTTTTGAAGTCAGTTTTCACCATTGTGAAATAGAACCGCATAAATTTCTCAATCCACTTTTGGGCTTAGGCACCTGGGAACATTGTCCTGGTGCCTGGTATTACAGAGGCATTGGTGGCTCACCCCGTCTGATGCACCTGTTATTTCTGTCTTGACAACTGAGTTAGCTGCAAACTGGGCATTACTGACATGGAAAGTATACTTCTGGGACTGTGTCTGGTCAGCATGGGCATTGTTAAAGAGTGGGCTGTGTCCCAGAGCCCTCCTGACCTGTGCCCAGGAATCACTACATTTTCTCCACGCTGGCTCTGTGGTCTTCCTACAGTGGGGCCAAGGAATAAGGGGAGAACTGAGGCAGTGGAGGAGGCGGCCCTTAGTTACTCAGACGAAGTGTGGCAAGAGAGGCTGTGTCTGTGCAGAGTGCTGTCCTGCGATGCTGGCAGGTCCACTCGTGGCTTCACGAGGAGTGGCCTAGATGGAGAGGAGGCACAGCGTGACTCATCTCCTAAGCTCATTTCAAACATGGCTCTGATAACATGAGCGTTCTTCAACAACCTTATGGGAAAATGGAATTAAAACATGTTTGTTTATTTTTTTAAAGATTTATTTTAAAGGCAGATTTACAGAAAGAGGGAGAGAAGAGAGATCTTCCATTTGCTAGTTCACTCCTTAAATGGCTACAACAGCTGGGGCTGGGCCAGGCAAAAGCCAGGAGCCAGGAGCTTCTTCCTGGTCTCGCATGTGGATGGGAGGGGCCGAAGCACTTGGGCCATCTTCCACTGCTTTCCCAGGCCATTAGCAGGGAGTTGGGTCAGAAGTGGAGCAGCCAGGACTTGAACCAGTGCTCATATGGGATGCTGGCACAACAGTGGCCCCAAGATAAGTTTATTTTGTTGAAAAACAGTATTAATGTTAGACGTGTTTATATTCTTGTTTATTCTATTCTGCAGTAGCATATCACTATGCATTTAGCAGCTTGGAGCAATATACATTTACCACCTATAGATGTGTGGGCATGGCACAGAAGGTCCTCTTCAGAGCTGCACAAGACAAACAAGGGCCTGACTGGCTGCGGCCCTCATCTGGTTCTTTCAGGTCATAGGCAATGTTCATTTGTTGTGATTGGGACAGTGGTCCAGCTGAGACTGCTTTTAGCTCCTAGAGACCCTGTGCGGACCTGGCCATGTGGCCCTCACAGCTCGTGGCAGGGGCATCTGCAGTTGGCCACAGTGGAGTTTTATGTTCGTGGCAGTGACCATCCCATCATACTCACAGGACCCTACACTGAAGGGAGAGCAGATGTGTACACTAGGGGTGGACATTTGGGGACATCTTGGATTCTGCCTGCCACACTGTCAGGCTCTGTGAATCTAACACAATCACTAAGGATTTTCATGGCCACATCTCTTAGTTTACAGTTAATTGCCTGAGCTCTACTCCCCTAAAAGCAGAAGTCCTGCATGTCTCTGAGTGCCCCCCTCCATAACCCCCACGTGCATGCACACCCACACGTGTTGTATCACACCAACACTTTTCTCCTTATCCTGTCTTCCAGAAGGGAGGCTCCTCCACAGCAAGAGTTCCATCTTGGTTAGGATTGCTCCATCCCTCCTCCCCCACCACACACCAGGATCAAGCTCCCTGTAGCTCCTCGGTGGCTGTTTGTGGACTGCGTCGGTTTTAAGAATCAGCAGGATTTCTAAGCACCCATTTAGGCCACTCTGCTGGATGCTTGTTGGCTAAAGCAGGTTAAACAGACTCGTTTAGGTCACTGTTGTGGGAGGATCTCATTGCAATTGCAGCGACACTCATATTGTCTGTGGGATGTTGTGTTGCTCTGTGTGTCTGTGCACATCAGGAGACAGGGACAGTGGCAGTGTGGGGTATTTGTCAGCCCAGTTTGTCCTTGAAATGATAGTTCGCTTCAGTCAGTGCTGGGTGTGTACAGAAAGAGGGAACCAGCCTGGGAGCCCCAGGGACCTGCCATGCTGAGGAACTGGGAAGCAGCTGCTTTGTAGCAAACCTGCTGAGCTACAGGCCACTGCTGATGCCTCTCTCCAGCCAGTTCTCAAGGGAGCTGTTTCCTACACATTTTCCTACAAAACAGAGGCTTTGTTTGCATTACCCAAGATCTTGAGTAGAATTATGCATTTCTCCCAGATACCCCTTTTATTTTTTTATTTTTTAAGATTTATTTATTTGAAAAGCAGAGTAAAACAGAGAGAAGGAGAGGCAGAGAGAGGTCTTCCATCTGCTGGTTCACTCCCCAATTGGCTGCAATGGTGGGAGCTGCGCTGCTCTGAAGCCAGGAGCTTCTTCTGGGTCTTCCCTGCAGGTGCAGGGGCCCAAAAACTTGGACCATCTTTCCCTGCTTTTCCAGGCCACAGCAGAGAGCTGGATCGAAAGTGGAGCAGCTGGGACTCGAACCAGCTCCCATATGGGATGCAGGTGGTGGCTTTACCCGATACGCTACAGCGCGGGCCCCACCAGATACCCCTTTTAAAAGTAAAGAGTTGGCAGACATCTGAGTCACCAGCATGTGATCATTCAGTGCTGTTGAGAAACAGCCTCTGTGTGCTGCCGCTTGGACTCAGTTGCTCTGGTACAAGTTTCCTGTGAATACTAAAGTGTGGTAGGAAAGGATTTGAGCTTTTATAGTATCTTCCCTTTGCAAAGGCAAACCATGTGGGGTCAGGGAAGGACAGAAACATTGAAGGATCTGAGTGACCTGTGGCCTGCACTGGGTCCTCCCGTGTGTGCCCCCTTGGTGGGCTGTGCTGGGGGAGGGCACCTCCAGAGCCTATACCTGCCTGGGTCCCTGAAGCCTCAGGCACACTAGGGAGTGTGAGCACACTGTGTATGGGAAGGACAGACCTGCACTGTGTGTCAGAGGTGGGGCACACGCTTCACAGTTATGAGTGGTGAGATGAGGGTAGTACCTCTGTATGACTCCACGACCTCTGCTCTTAGCCTCATTGGACTTAGGGAGGTATGTCCACCCTTTCCACACCATCAAGCAGTGAGGCCTCAGGGGGTTGGCACCTTATTGATGCCAGGTTGCTGCCTTTCTGCTGACTGCAGTGCTGGCAAGAGTTGATGCCCCAGCAGGAATCCGTGTGGCATGTGGAGTGTGTAGTAAGGCACTGACCACATCCATCTCAGCACCTTCTACTGGTTTCCTGACATGCAGGCATGGCAGTACATACCTCATCACTGTTACTTTCTCTTCTAAGCATGATTACGTCATGACCTTGTGACACAGAGCAGTAGCCATCCTGTGCTCTCCTGCTGGTGAAAGCGGTAATCAGCCTGTGTTCTCTTTCTGCAGATGCCGTTCCTACGAGGATTGCTGTGGCTCCCGGTGCTGCGTGCGGGCCCTCTCCATACAGAGACTGTGGTATTTCTGGTAGGTCACAGCTCTGCTCCTCTGTTTCCCCAGTCCCCAAGGGCTCTGCATATCACCTGTGTTGTCTCAGTCTTGGTGACATCTCTTTCACCCTGGGGCAAGCTGGGTCAAGAAAACAAATGCTTCGTGGCTGCACTTGTGCTCACCGTGCACGTCGAAGGCTCATTCCCCTCCAGGCTTCTGGCCAGGGCATGGGTGGCAAGGGGAGGAAGGAGCCACTTTCAGAAAATGGCTGCACAGTAGCTCTTTGGCCGGCCAAGGCTGCTTGTCCTGAGTAAGGAGAGAATCAGCAAATCGAGATACTTCTGCTGCCTGGAAATCTTCCCCATTCATTGGGGTTGGCTGAATCTGAGCTTGGAAGACTGGCAGCTGCCTCCTGTCTCACCATCTGGCTCCTCTGAGGGATCAGCTTCTCTAGTCTTCGTCATGGCCCTTGTGTAACTCTGCACCCAAACTGTACACTCACCCTGGAGGTGGGTGCTTGGTGCAGTTAAGGTGCTGCTTGGGAAGCCTACCTCCTCCCATATTGGAGGGTCCGGGTTCTACATCTGGCTCCACCCCAGACCAGCTTCCTGCTAAGGCACACCTTGGGAGGCAGTGGTGATGGCTCAAGCAGTTGGGCTCACACAGTTGGAAGATCTAGATGGAGAGTTCTTGGCTCCAGTGGCTGTTAGAGGCCTTGGGAGAGTAAACCAAAGATCTTCCTGTCTTTCAAACAAATAAAATACATGATTCTTTTTTAAAATAAAATACTGCCACAGTGGTAAGCTCTGTTAAGTCTGTTTTACCACATGCAGGCATCAGAACCCACTTTCGCATCTTTCATATTTTTGGGCACTCACCAAAGTTGTACCTTTGTGTTCCCTGTCTGCTTCCCTGGTCAGAACTCTAGTTGGGTGGGCAGGGGCCTTTCTGTCTCCTTGCTGTGTGCTCAGCATGGTGTGAGGAGTGTGGATGGGGCTAAAGAATGTTGAATGAATTGTACCACAGCTCACAGAGCTGCATTTCAGTCTTTTCCCAAGTCCCGTGCTGTCCTGGGCCTGTGACTGCAGTTCCTACTCAGTGTTGCAGGGTTATGCAGTAAACACGTGTCGACGGGCTGGCAGACTTGCACTTGGCATCGTGGTAATGTTCCCAAAGGCTTTGCTGACTGTTCTTTTCCTCAATAGCTGCTAAGTGTGGACATTATGCCATGGCATGGCCAGCTCTGCCGTGTTCATCCTGCGTGAAGCAAGGGCTCTCCTTTCAGAGTATGGGTTTGTCGTGTGAAGTTCTGAAAGGTTCCGTGGGTCCCATCATAATTTCAGTTGCCTGTTTGTCAGTTTTATCTATTACTTATTGGCTCTTCTCAGAGTGAGTCCTTTTTCTAGAAACAAAAGTAGAGCACAGATGGGAAATGGAAGGAAGTCATTTCTTACACCGTGGTGACCTGGTGACCAGTGAGGGTTCTCAGGCCTGTTTTTGAAGTCTTCAGCCCCCCGGCTGAGAATTTTCTAGATCTCCAGAGAGATCTAGACAGGGCTCCCTTCCAGAGCTGCCCAGTGTCTGGGGCCTCCATCTAGGGGATGTCCAGGAGCCTGCAGGCTGGGTGTTGCCGGCTTTCCTCCTCCAGAGGAAGAGCCTTGGGGGAAACAGTGCAGAGAGGACCAAGTCCAGGGCACGAGTGCTTCTGACCAGGAACCTAGTGGCTCTGCCCTGCCCTCTCGTCTGACTGCCTGAGATCTGAGTTCATGCATCCACAAGGCCTCTCGAGTCCCTGGCTGAGTCCTCGAGGTCGTGCCTGAATGGCTGCTTGCTCTGAGCTCTACTTCCTGTCTGTTCTCCCCAGGTTCCTGCTCATGATGGGTGTGCTCTTCTGCTGCGGGGCTGGCTTCTTCATCCGGAGGCGAATGTACCCCCCACCATTGATCGAGGAGCCCGCATTCAATGTGTCCTACACAAGGCAGCCCCCAAACCCCGCTTCAGGTCAGCCAGCCCCTGTCTTTGTCTCTTCCCTGTACATTTCATGGGTCCTCTTCAGACATCTCTGAAGGTCACTCCCACAGACCGTGCTAGAAGAGAGGACACTCAGGCCATCCCTGTAAGTTGGTGATGGCTTGATCGTGCATTCGGAGTGCGTGTGCATCACCTCGTACTCTAACCTGATCATTCGGGTACTTGACACACAGGTGGTACCATCACATGTGCGTAGTGTGCACTCCCTGCCAGTCTCAAAGCTGTTGACCTAAATGTTAATTCTGCCACTGAACGGTAATTGTTCTTTCATTGCTGACAATTTATTTTGTTTTTCTCTTTTGCCTTTTATCACTCAGCAAGTGTTTATTGTGTGCTTAATAGTATCTGAGTAATTATATCCATAGTGCAGCTCAAGACATTTTTGCACAGATGACTTTTGTCCTGTTAGAGGTTAACATGCAATGCAATTTTCCAGGGTCAGAGTTCCTTGTTTCTTAATTCCCATAAAACATCACCGTCACTCTCAAGCTCCCTGTCAGGACACAGGCTGGTGCTGTGATTTTTATGTCCTGTGAAGTATTTCCCTTCCTTAGAGGGAACCCTCTGATGACTGAGGGAGCACAGGCAGGCAGCGCTCTTGAGAGTCAGGTGTGTGGGGAGTGAGGTGTCGGTGTGTTACCCAGGCCGCTGTGCTCCCAGTCACCGTTTCCACCCAGGGATGGGTAGGGACAGGGAGCAGTCTCCACTGATGACCTCAGGTGGATGGTCAGAATTCTTGGAGCAAAATACTTTTACAAAGTTTCAGTTATGCAAAGTAAGTAACTCCTACAGGTCTACTGACAGCACAGAGCCTATGATTAATAAAGATGCAGTATATTACTAAAAATTTGCCAAGAGGGCAGGCATGAGTTACATGTTGTTAGCCCGCATTTTGTCTCCACCATTGTAAACACAAGAGTGGAGAGGATGCTGGGAGGAGGCAGTGACGGTGTCGATGTCTGCATGGGGTGTCTCTGACACCACGCTCATCAGGTTGTGTGCGTTTAATATGTACAGCTTCCTACAAGTTAGTCTTGCCTTGATAAAGTGGGTTAAAACAGAAATGAGAAGTAGGGGGTGAGTGGAGAGGCAGAAGCAGCCTTCTCTCTGGTTCTCTCAGTACAAAGGGAATGGAGCTGATCTCTGCAGTTTTGTTCCCTTTTGCTTTTCCTTTAAATTTTTTTCAATATTGTCTTTAAAAATGTTACTCAGAAAGGTAGATCTGCATTTCCTATAGCAGCTGAGCTGGGCTGTGCCTTAAACTTTAACTCAGGCTCTTTCGTCATCTTGAACAGTTTCAAATCTGTGTTCTGACAAATGCTCAGTGAAAGCGGGTGACCAGAGCCCTCACTCATTGGGCTGTATCTGGCTTAGCCAGAGTTTTCAGTGTAGGAACAGTGCCTGCTGAGCCACTGCCTGGATGGAGCTGGGGTGGAGGCAGTGGTGGTTCGGGCCTGAGCTCCTGCTGTAGGATAGCTTGGGTGTTCCATGGCCCCTCCATGTTTCTAGGAGAGGGTGTGGCATGTGTGCCTTCCTTCCTCATCTCACTCCCCCGTGTGGCTGTGTGCCCTGTCTGCCGGGTAGACTCCAGATTCCTCTCCCAGCAGCACCCATCAAATGGGTCATCAGGTCTACAGATTGAGCTGACCTTGCCTGAGACCCTCATCTCACCCTCAGGCAGTGCCTGCCCCGTCCGCTCAGCCCTGCTATCTTCCCTGTGGCCCCCAGCTTGGGGCTGTGTTTCTGCCACCTGGCTTCCCTCACAGTTGCAGGTCCAGATTCTGCAGTAGAGACCCAGGGCAGGGAATCGGATTTGCTTTCTCTTTGTCTCTGTTTTCTTTCTGGTGGTCTCTCTTGCCCTTGTCCTCTATGTCCAGATTTGTTCCAGGCTGCAAGTCCCTGGGCTTGAGTTTCTCTGCTCCTGCATTTGTTCCTGGTAGTAACCCCAGGTTAGGATTGGTTACACAGCTCCATTTAGGACTTTCAGGGGTTTGCTCTCACCGTGCTCATTCGCAATTGAGACATTGAGGTTTGATTTTAGGGTACTTTTGATTCCAGAATCATGTGCTATAGAACTGTATGTTCTGGGAACATCCTGGAAATGATGCTGGGCCCTCGCTGGCCTTCTCTCCATGAGTGAGGCTCCACCTTGGTCTGAGTTGGGCCGCTTCTCTGTGGAGCCCGAGTGGCCACTGTGGGCTGTGTCCTGTTGAGGGTTCAGTTTGGGTCACGTGAACAGATCCTGCAGGGCCCTGTGCTCCTCTGAGAGCTGTCTCTGGTGGAGCTGATCCTGTTCTCGCCTAAGTGCCCCATCACTGGGGGCTCCCAGTGAAGCTGCAGCCATCTCTGCTGCCCTGAGCCTTGCCTCCAGTTGTGCCAGCATGTTCCATCCCCATGGATACCAGGAGTTTTCACCTAAGGGTTTGTGTTCTTGAAGAATATTCTCAGTTTCTTGAAGAGTTATCCATCTCTTGTCTGTTCAATATCTACTATATTCTAAATGCCTCTCCATGTTCAAATAGTTCCATCCCACTAATTCCTGGCAATACCTCTAAGTTGTGACTGTTAGTGTGAAAATGTCCACTAAATAGACACAGGTGCCAGGGTTTTTCACTGCACTCCAGGGTGAGCAGCCATGCCTAAGTAACTCAGGTACAGGTTCCATGTACCCCACCCTCATCTGCGGTGGGGAGTTGGGCTGGGGGTCAGCAGGCTTGTAGGGCGATCAGCTAGCCCTTACTCTCTGTCTCAGGAAACTGCCCAGCATGACCTGGCATAAGGACCAAACCCTGATCGCTTTTTGCCTCCCCGATCTTGGTTGCTCATCTGTCTCCTTGTCTGTGGGCATTTGCTACCAGCCCAGCACCATCTGAGGCATTCCTGTCCTTTCCTCATATGCACAGCGCTCTGAAGAGCGTACTGCACTGTGCAGGTTCCACAAGACCCACCCACTGTGTTGTCCTGGATGCTGAGAGCACAGGGGTGCCTGCTCCAGCTAGGACGGCATGGACAGGCACTGCCGTGTGGCTCCCCAGAGCTTGGGGTTCTGAGCTGAGACTTGAAAGATAAACAGGAATTAGCCAGGTGAGAGGTAGTGAGGAGCAGGGCCTTGAGCTGGGGTCTGTGTGTGGAAAACCCAGGAGATGATTTCTGGTGAGGGCTCAGGGAGGGTGAGCAAGACACTGACAATGTAGGGGTTGTTGGGAGATAAAAGAGTAAGGCAGGACAGTGAGAAGTAAGACTGGACTGGCAGGAAGCTGACTCTGAGGTCTCGGTTCCTCAGGAGGACCCATAACTTACTTATAGTCTCACCAGTGACTGGTGCAGCCACATGGGAATGGGGGTAGATGCAGGAAGAGGAGTGCTGTGTTCAGACGCCCCCCTGTGTCTCTATGAGGTTTTCAAATCCCGCCTGTGTCTCTGTGACATTGTTCAAACCCCATCTGTGTCTCTCTGAGGTGTTCAGACCCCGCTTGTGCCTCTGTGACATTGTTCAAACCCCATCTGTGTCTCTCTGAGGTGTTCAGACCCCGCTTGTGCCTCTGTGACATTGTTCAGACCCTGCCTGTGCTCTGTGGTGTGTTCAGACCCTGCCTGTGTCTCTGTGACATTGTTCAGACACTGCCTGTGCCTCTGTGAGGTATTCAGACCCCATCTGTGTCTCTGTGACATTGTTCAGACCCCGCCTGTGCCTCTGTGAGGTGTTCAGACCCCATCTGTGTCTATGTGACATTGTTCAGACCCTACCTGTGTGTGACAGTGTTTAGACCCTTCCTGTGTCTCTGTGACATTGTTCAGACCCTGCCTGTGCCTCTGTGAGGTGTTCAGACCCCATCTGTGTCTCTGTGACATTGTTCAGACCCTAACTGTGCGTCTGTGACAGTGTTTAGACCCCATCTGTGTCTCTGTGGCATTGTTCAGACCCCACCTGTGTCTCTGTGGTGTGTTCAGACCCTGCTTTTGTCTCTGTGACATTGTTCAGACCCTGCCTGTGCTCTGTGGTGTGTTCCGAACCTGCCTGTGCTCTGTGGTGTGCTCATACCCTGCCTGTGTCTCATAACATTGTTAAGACTCTGCCTGTGCCTCTGTGACATTGTTTAGACCCTGCCTGTGCCTCTCTGACATTGTTCAGACCCCGCCTGTATCTCTATGACATTGTTCAGACCCCGCCTGTGCCTCTGTGACATTGTTCAGATCCCACCTGTGTCTTTGTGACATTGTTCATATCCCGCCTGTGTCTCTGTGACATTGTTCAGATCCCGCCTGTGGCTCTGTGACATTGTTCAGATCCTGCCTGTGTCTTTGTGACATTGTTCAGACCCTGCCTGTGTCTCTGTGACAGTGTTTAGACCCTGCCTGTGCCTCTGTGACATTGTTCAGACCCCGCCTGTGCCTCTGTGACATTGTTCAGATCCCGCCTGTGTCTTTGTGGTGTGTTCAGACCCTTCCTGTGTCTCTTGACATTGTTCAGACTCCACCTGTGTCTCTGTGAGGTGTTCAGACCCCATCTGTGCCTCTGTGACATTGTTCAGACCCTGCCTGTGTCTTTGTGACATTGTTAAGATCCCACCTGTGTCTCTGTGACATTGTTCAGATCCCGCCTGTGTCTTTGTGACATTATTTAGACCCTGCCTGTGTCTCTGTGACATTGTTCAGACTCCACCTGTGTCTCTGTGAGATGTTCAGATCCCATCTGTGTCTCTGTGACATTGTTCAGACACTGCCTGTGCCTCTGTGACATTGTTCAGATCCCGCCTGTGTCTTTGTGACATTATTTAGACCCTGCCTGTGTCTCTGTGACATTGTTCAGACTCCACCTGTGTCTCTGTGAGATGTTCAGATCCCATCTGTGTCTCTGTGACATTGTTCAGACACTGCCTGTGCCTCTGTGACATTGTTCAGATCCTGTCTGTACCTCTCTGACATTGTTCAGACCCTTCCTGTGTCTCTGTGACATTGTTCAGACTCCACCTGTGTCTCTGAGGTGTTCAGACCTCATCTGTGCCTCTGTGACAGTGTTTAGACCCTGCTTGTGTCTCTGTGACATTGTTCAGACCCTGCCTGTGCCTCTGTGACATTGTTCAGATCCCGCCTGTGTCTTTGTGACATTATTCAGACCCTGTCTGTGTCTCTGTGACATTGTTCAGACTCCACCTGTGTCTCTGTGAGGTGTTCAGACCCCGTCTGGGCCTCTGTGACATTGTTCAGACCCTGCCTGTGCCTCTGTGACATTGTTCAGACCCTGCCTGTGTCTTTGTGACATTGTTCAGATCCCGCCTGTGTCTTTGTGACATATTCAGGCCTCTGTGTCCGGCTCCCTGGCCTGCGTCTAAGACCCTTGGCCTGGAGAAGAGAATGTCTGGCAGCATCCAGTGAAGTAGAGCTCCCATAGACCAACCAGCACAGCTCTGCCTCCAGTGTGTGCCCTGGCAGGTTGTCTCCTGGTCTGTTTCCTTGGGCCTGCCTGGAGGATAGGCAGTCCCTGCCTTGAGAAGATGCTAACCTACATGTGGGAATGGAGGCCACACTTCAGAAATGGTCACCAGAAAATTGGCGCTTGTAGGCTTATGGAGTTGCCAGCAGTAAATCTGGGCTGAAAGTCAGGAAGGCAGGTTGCTTTTCTGGTTCTTTCCACACAGCTGCACATCGAATGACCTTACGAGGGCCTGGCCCCCACCAGCAGTGTGCATGCCCTCTGTTGGCCACCTCTGCATACATGCACACCTTTAGCTGGTCACTCCTTGGGTGCTTCCTTACCTCTATCGCAGAGCAGCCTTCTCTTCAGGTTCTGGGTCAGTGCCATCCACACCACCATCCCTCTGATAACTCACGATGCCCTGGGAGCCTACCTGTGGCTCTCTGATGACCTGTCTTTTCTGGTTGAACAGAGGCCCTGGAGGGCAGGCCCCTGCTGATGCCTCTGCGTGTCCTCATGGCCATGTTGGGTGCTTGACACACAACTCATTAGGAACTGAGTGGGGCCCATTTCCCCACAGCTCTCCGGCAACAAGTGCTTTGGTTGTCACAGGTGCTGGTTTTCTCTCCCTTGCTCACACGAGGCTGTCTGTCTTTCAGGAGCCCAGCAGCCGGGGCCGCCGTATTACACTGACCCTGGAGGACCGGGCGTGAATCCTGCTGGGAACACCATGGCTGTGGCCTTCCAGGTCCAGCCCAGCTCATCCCAGGGAAGCTCAGCCTATCCACCCCCTCCTTCCTACTGCAACACGCCCCCACCCCCCTACGAACAGGTGGTGAAGGCCAAGTAGGACCGCTGCCCACTGGACAGGGAGGTATCCACTCAGCACCCTCCCCACCAATGCTCACTTCCAGGAATGGTCCAAGGGCAGATCTTCTTGATACCTTCAGAGCAAGCAGAGGCCTTTTCAAGTTTTCCGTGAGGATGTTTGAATTCACACCGTGTCTGCTCTGCTGCTTCTGTCCCAGTGTAACGTGGCTCTCTGCATTGTGGCAAAGTTCCCAGGGGTTGGTGCTCTTAGGGAGGCATCGCCAGACCCCCAGGAGAAGGGGAGGAAGGCAGAGCTGCATGGGAGGGGCACAGATGGAGGGCCGGGCCCAGCCGAACCCTGTACACAGCAGTGTGACAGATGAGGCCCGCAGGGTCACTGTTCTGGCACATTCTCCCATCAGTCTTCCTCTTCTAGAAGCTGTTAGAGATGCATTCAGGGGAGACAAGTCCCTCAATCCTTTTCTGTCTTCATTCACATTCTAAACACAGGCTCCCTCCAAACAGCCAGGAACGGGCTGGCGGCCTGCAAGCATCTTTCTCCTCCACAGTACGTGCAGGTCACTGAGGAAGGCTGTGTAGCCGTGGGAAATCACTCCAAGCATTTTATCAACTCTTGGGATAAAAATGCTCCACCCTTTTCAGTGTATTTGTAAAAGTATGTGAATAGCATCCTCTCCTCAGAAATCAGACCAGGCATGTGTCTCTTGTGTCCCTGCCTCTCCAATGTGGTCTTGGACCCAGAGGCTCCTGTAACCTACCCAGGGCAGTGCCAGGGGTGGGTTTGATGGCCACTGGAAAGGAGAAACACTGGCTGAGGCCACCCAGCCACACACAGCAAGCATTATTGAGCCTGGGGTGGTCAGCGGTTGTTTGGTCTTGGCAGGTTGTGGGGGTGGGGGCTCTGTGAAAGAGGAGCTTGCTGAGAGATGGGAAGGTACTGACTGGATTGCATTGAGCACATAATCAGAACGAGGAGGGAGAGGGTATGCGTGGGAATGCAGCTCCCTGGGTAGGACTCATCTCTCATCCCAGGATCATACATGCAGTCTGATTGGCAGAGAGAGGGAGGTCCCATCCCAGGATCATACATGCAGTCTGATTGGCAGTCAGCAGGGAGCTTGCTCTGTCCCCTGCATAGTTTGTAGTGTTGATGTATATTTAATCCCAGGCTAAGTGTCGTGTGTTCTAAGAGCAAAGCAGTGTAGCCAAGACGCCTAGATCCCCATGTGTGTGTAGTATTGTGGGGAGCGATTCTTGTGTGTGTAGTGTCATGGGGAGCAGGGTGGGCCACGTGTGTTTTTGAAATGAACTAATCAGAGCTTCTTGAGAAATTGTTGAACTTGAGCATCAAGGCATCCACTGCAGTGGATTCTGGTTTTCATTTCCTAGGCCAAAGGGCTCCGTGTCCATGCTCTGCCCGTGTTTACACGGGGTGGGCTGAAGAATAAGACATGGCTGAATAGCCAGCCCCTTGGACTCGTTTACTCCAAGGACGTGGACTCCTGGGCCTCTGCAGGACATGCTGGGGGACACTGCTGCTCTGACTGGGACTCCCCACCCCGGGGTCCTGGTTTCGATGATGCAACAAAGCACAACTTGCACTGTTTACAACTTGGACATCCACGTGGGTCCAAATCATTCCTCTACCCCCAGGTCATTTGTGTGTGTTTTGACTTCAATTCCTCTCCTTTTTTAAACAAAGAAGCACACTGGAACACTGCTGCCCTGGGACTGGTCAGGGTAACCCAAATGCCCACAACTCCATTTTGTTTGTCTTTTTGAAAGCAAAGTTCTTAAGCCTGATGACTGAGAGGGCTCAACGATTTTATATTTCCATGTTTGTGTAAGATAAACTTTGTTTTCCGTTGAACCTGGGTCAGGGTCCTGCGATGGTGGATGCTGGTGGTGTCCATGGGAACCCACTTCTGTGCGTCTCCTCTGTGCTGCTTCTGGATGTGACCCCACCCCTGGGTGAGAGGTCCTTTGGCAGGGGTGAACTTGAAGCTGACCTGTGCATGTTTCTCTGAGAAATTTGGCTCATTTCTACTTTGTTCTCTTTTGATAGGGTCTTAATTCCTGTGTATGCAAAATAAAGTAAATTGGGCATTAATTTCTTCACTTTGCTGGGGAGTGGGAAGAAGGCAGAGATGACATTTCTGGTGAGAAGAATAGGCAGGGGTCCTTAGTTCAGTGGGTGGGGTGGGGACACACACAATCTCAGGAGAAGGAAGGGACTTCTCCTTCCCCAGCACATTGGAAAACCAAGCCGAGGAAGGAGTTGTCGCTGGGGAGCAGGTGTGGAGAAGCCTTGCTGGGGTCACCCAGCCCGCTGAGGCAGCCTCATCGGCCTGGCACCTCCAACTGCTTGTACAGCCAGGTGAGCCGTCATTTGGAGATCCAGCTCTGTAAATAGATAAGTAAGTAAGTAATAAAGAAGGAGTGAATACCTGGGTTCAAGTCCTGCTTCCAGTTCCAGCTTCCTGCTGATATACTCCCTGAGAGGCAACAGTGATGGCTCAGGGGGGTGGGGTCCTGACACCTGTGTGGAAGACCTGCCAGTTGCAACCATTTGAGGAGTGAGCTGGAAGATGGGATCTCTCTCTCTGTGTGTCTCTCTCTCTCTCACTCACTCACTCAAATATTTTTTTAAGATTTATTTATTTATTAGAGAGGCAGAGGTAGAGAGAGAGAGGTCTTCTGTCTGCTGGTTCACTCCCCAGATGGCCGCAACAGCCGGAGCTGTGCCGATCTGGAGCCAGGAGCTTCTTCCGGGTCTCCCACGTGGGTGCTGGGGCCCAAGGACTTGAGCCAAGGACTTCTGCTTTCCCAGGCCATTAGCAGAGAGCTGGATTGGAAGCGAAACAGCCAGGACTTGACCCCGGTGCCCATATGGGATGCCTGCACTGCAGGCGGTGGCTTTACCCACTACGCCACAGCGGTGGCCCCACTCACTCAAATTTTTTTTTTTAAATTAACACCCAGCTTCCCATGATCAGAAGCTGTACTCTTGACATGCCCTTCTGTGCTGAAGAAACATTTGCAAACCCCTAGTACAGCACCGTCCTGAGAACCCATCTGAGATGCTCTGATGGTATCTGTCTCTCAGAGGTTGGCCGTGCACCTCCAGCACTTATCCACTTAGACCACAGTCCTTTAGCAGGGGTGAGAGGGGCTCCACCCATGCTGTGGGGGCTGCCCTGGCTCTCCATGACTCTGGCTTCTTGCTCAGGTGCCTGAGAACATTGGACCCTGAAGGCACAGCTCACCCCTAGGGAGTGGGGCCGCCTTCCTCTTATTCCTCCTAGACACTGTGTCTGGGTCTTCCTTGTCCTCAGCCCCAGAATCTGGGAGTGGTGGTGGTGGTGGTGGTGGTGGGAGCAGGGAGAGTTCACTGTTGTGCTCTTGGGCTGTGGGCGGACACCAAGATGACAACTGAGCTTCATGGGAACCTCCTGCTGCCTCTTCCCCTCTCTGTAAAGCGGGGTCGAGGGGGCCCTTGGGGTATGCTGGGGGTTGAGAGGGTGAGAGAGACCCCTGTGGGGGGATCCCAGTGCTGTTCCAGGTGCTGCTACAGATCCAGGCACAAAGTGGGGGCCACAAGCCTGGGTCTGCGCCCACCCCACCCCCCTTCCTGCTGGCACTTACACTCCTCCAGCCCCTTGGTATGCCTTGCTCACACCTGGTTCATGGAGGGCAAGGTCATGACCTGTAGGAGCATTGGTGCTGAGAGGTGTCTCTGGGAGAACCTGCTAAGCACTAACAGGTTTTCATTCAAAAACAAACCAAGCCTGTGTGGTCTTTTTAAAAAAATAATTATGAAAATAGCAGATGCTCATTGCAGAAGAACGTAGACACTACCAGAAACATCAAGGAGCAGGGAAAGCACCATGTGGGACCCCCAGCAGGTTTGTAATCCACCCCTTTCTTGCTCTTGGGCCCTGGCCACACAACTTGGGACCGGACCTATCTTCCTGGCCAGTTTCCTCAGCCCTAAAGATGCTCCTCCTCCCCCCACCAGCTGGAGTCGCTGCTGGGTATCAAAGGCTCACCCTGGAGCAGGTGCACTCACAGCCCTGCTTCCCTGACTGGAGTCGGAGGGTCCGTTGAGGGCCCAGGTCCCTGGGGCCCGCAGACTTACTCTAGGAGTGCACCATTCCTGAGATGCCCCAGGCCGCTGTTCCCGTGAGTGGCAGCTGGGTTCCTGCAAACCCTTGGGCACTGCCCCCACCATCAGCCCCCATTTTGCTTATGTTCTCTTTGCTTTTCTTTGTGAGTTTACCCCTTAAGTGTTCTCTTTCATTTTGAACTTTATGATAATATATTCTCTCCAATTTACTTTTCTGTTCGAGCTGTTGCTCACTTTCCTCTGTGGTAAATAAGGAGGTGCTGAGCACGTTTCTTGAACTTGTTTCCTGATATTTTGTTTATGTAAGTGACACAAATTACCTTCAGAATGATCATGCTGACGGGCTCCACCAGCCTTTGCCAATGCTATCTTATTGGCAGTTACATATGAAAATCATTACAGTGCTAATAATGCTTTCAAGTGAATCACAAGAGTAATTGCTCCAAATGATTTAGTCCATGTTTGATTTTGCCAGTTTGAGAAATGAGTGCCATTTCCTTATTGCCGGAGTCCCTCACTGCCTGTGAGAGCCATGTCCTTGAAAGGATCTTTGGTTGGTGAAATCAAGGCTGGCAGGATTGCACTTTCCCAGGAAACAGGGAAGTGGGGAAGATGACGACACTGCATTTAACGTGTGAGCTGTAGCACTAAGCATGTTAAGTTTACAGCACATATAGTGTCAGATGTGTGTAAGGAATGTGGCATTAAACTGTGCACCTGTGAAGTCTCAAGATGCAGAGGTTTAAAGCTGTTTACCAAACTCCTGAGTAGCAGTCATCTTTGCTGCACTGTCTACCAGTCCTTTGATGATGTGGCTGGTCCTCTTGTTGTCCCCAGCAGTGGACGACTGTCATTTCTGTCATTTCCAGAGGCTCCAAAACTACCTGGAGGAGAGCCAAGGTCTCTTCCATGTTAGGATGGTAGGCTTACTGACTGCAAAGAGCTCACTCTCCAAATTGCTGCATGTGCATGTAGCACAAGACAAGCATACTTGGAGTCTGTACATATTGACTAGCTCTTTTCCCAGCTCTGAGCTGGTCAAGGCAGTAAGTTCAGCCTTTGGCCTGAAGTTTTGGGTGGCAATGCCTGAGTCTGCACTTGAGTGAGACCCACTGTGGCATAGCCTGCCTTTCTAATGCCTTCCTCCATGAAACTGCTGCCGTCAGTGAGCCATTCAACATCTAGGTTTTGCAGTGGTTCATCTTATGGACGAGGTTTGCTGGAGAGCTGCTCTGTGGTCTCTACACAAGAACCAGCTTTTCGGAAGGCAGGAGAGTAGCTAGATTGAGGACTTGGTATACCTGAGAGTAACCTGGGGTAAGTCTAAAAGGAGAGCCTGGTACTTAGTAAGGTCTCTTCCTATTAACCACTGGTGTCCTTTAATCTCTAGAGCTTCTGGTGTGGAGGTTGAACTAAAAGGGCTGACATAAAGCCAGCTTGGTGGTTTTCTCTACCAAAGTGTGGTAGTCACAGCATCTCTCAAGGATGCAGGCCATCCTGTGGTCACTGATTTCTCTTGTTTGGGAAAACAGCCACTGGTCATAAATGGCTCAATTTTTGAGTGAAAACACCTGGGGCTATTCCTCGCCATTCTGCTGCAGAGTGAAAGGCTTGTCTAGATTAGGGATTCCTAGTGCAGGAGTCTTCGTCAGTTGGTCCTATTTTGAAAGTCCTTTCAGGTGGGTCAGTGTCAGTACTCTTTAAGGCCTCAAACAAGGGTTTGGCTATCAACCCAAATCCTGGAATCCAGATCCTGCAGAAAACTGCCATTCCCAGGAGTGTTCCAGCTGTTCCTTGTGGTGGCCTTCTATGTAATACAGTTTGCTGTCACTTCAGAAGGCATGCTTCCTTGGGGTCAGGACATATCCCAGGTAGGTGACTTCCTCTTTAGAAATCAGAGCTTTGGGTTGGGAGACTTTATATCTTCATTCCCCTAAAAGCCTAAGACTTAGATGGTGTTTCATCTACATCCTCCTTAGAAGGACTGCAAATGAGAATATTATCTACACATTGTAGATTGGCTCCAGTCTTTATTGAAGCACCCTAAGGTGAAGGCTATCCCTAAAGCTCTGAGAAAGGACCTTCCATATGTACTGTTGAGTTGTATTTGAGGATGGATCAGTATATTCAAAAGCAGACAGACATTCTGGTTGTCTTTTTTTTTTTTTTAATTAATTTAATTGAAAGTCAAAGATCTTCCATCCACTGGTTCACTCCCGAGATGGTCACAACAGCCAGGCTTGGGCCATTCTGAAGCTGGGAACCAGGAGCTTCTTCCAGGTCTCCCATGTGTATATCCAGGTGTTAAGCACATGGGCCATCTTCTGCTTTCCCCAGGCCATTAGCAGGGAGCTGGATTGGGAATGGAGCAGCTGGGACTTGAACCAGCACCCATATAGGATGCTGGCAGTCCAGGCAGCAGCTTTACCCACTATACCGCAACGCCGGCCCCCAGGATTCTGGGTTCAATGATATACAGAAGAATGTATACTCAGGTCTAAGGCTGAACCAAGAGGTACCTTCAGTTATCTGGGCTGATAGTAGAGGGATTTGGTACAACTGGATGATGTGAAATCACTGCCTCACTAATTGTATTCCACAATTGGCTTTGAAACAGGCAGAATAGGGGTAGTATAAGGATACTGATCTGGACTGAAGGGTTAGAGTCTCCACTTAGCGTTTTGTCTTAAGAGGTACTGGTGTCCATGAGGAAATGTCTTAAGAGAATTGTAATGGGGTGCTGTGTAGGACGTGTCCAGGTGTGCCTTGATCCCAGACTTGAGGATCTGCTCTATCTTTTGATTTCTGGAGGAAGATCAAAAGGCCTACGCCTTATCTCAGTACTCATTAGAGTCTTGACAAAAGATTCAGACTTGGAAGCAGTTAACCTGAGAGAAATGCCCAGTGCTGATAGCAGATTGCTGCCTATGTAAAGGACACTTGGGCACCACCTAAAACTGGGGAGAGATGAGAACATCTTCTGT